GGTCCTAATGCCTGTCACTTCCCAGGACGCTGGCAGCAGCCGCCCGCAGCCCCCGAGCCCTCGGCAGGTTTGCCTGTTCTTCCCCGCGATCTGATTGGATAAAGTGGGGGCTCGACGGTGGCCGACGTGGGACAGTCAGGCTGTGGCAGGGGTCTCGGAAACCATGGGTTATTGCAGTGGCAGGTGCACGCTTATCTTTATCTGTGGCATGCAACTGGTAAGTGACACTTGGGTCCTCTTCTTCTGTTATGTGCCTTTGAGATAGTGAGCAGGGGAGTGCAGTAAAGGGTCTGTCATTGATTAGAATGGAAGGAAAAATAAAAGAGAAAAGGTGACAGATATATTGCCCATATTTAAAATGATTTCGGGGAGACGCACTGTGGGATACAGGAGAGGTGAGCCTTTCCGCCCCCGCCTATTTCTGCCCCTCCGAAGACAGTTTGGCAGGTGCGGGTTAAACTTGTTGTTAATTTCCTTAAGCAGAGCAAGCTGTAGCTCTTGTTCCTTTATGCTTTGCATTCCTATTAATGTAACAGCGAGATGGTCACATATAATTTACTACACAGGTGTTAAAGCGGAGAAAAAGGAATTTTTGACTTTTCTTCCATACAGTAATTTTTGCAGTGTCTTTGCTTCTTTACTGACATGTATTATTTTTCAAGGCATATATTGTCTTATAAGTATAATGCTCTAACAAACCACTATGTGGGGCGGATGGTGTCCTTACAGCAGTCTTATCTAGAAGCCCCATTGAGTTTTAAAAGTATGTAGATTGAAGAGAAATTACTTCGATGGACTCAGCAATACCATTGCCCTAGACTGAATCAGCAGCCTTTAAATCACAATTATTACACACAATTCCAAGGAAAAGTATTCTGTCTCACATTATGTATGTAATTGCCCCTGAAATAGATACTGTTGTCTGATCCCATAGGATGGAGAATTATATGTACTTTTTGAGGAATGTTGTATAGTTGCAAAGAGGCAAGGAGCCAATAATGGAAAACGTCATGTCTCTGACTTTAAATTCCCTGCGGGCAACAGGAGGAGGGGAGGATAGTTTAGAGGTGAAAAATATCCCACTGTAAGTGGTTCCTTTGAGGTAGGAGGTACCTGGTCACTCCTGTTATCAAACAGCTGTCCTTGGAAAGTATAAATTAATCGGAATAGCCACCCACGTTTCCAACAATTGGTTCATAAAGGATGAAAGGACGACAAGACTGAAGGAGATTTCTGAGAGTCCGATCAGTAAGGTGATCAAAAGAGCAAGGATTTGCTATTGAAGCTGGTAGAAGAATTCCATAAGTGGTCTTCATTGTTTATCAGTTGTCATGAAGCTCACGAGCGGTGGTGGTGGTGGTGGTTTTGTTTAATGTTTAGCCGAAGCATTGCTTTTTCTTGCATATTGTCTTAGGATGTTTTTCTTTCCCAGGAAAGTTATCTGATGATGCATATTTTGATCCATGAATTACTTATGTACTTGCTTGTAAGAAAAAGAAAATGGAACTATAAATATAATTTTGAGTGTAATACTTTCTCAATGATGTGTAAACCAGTTTATTTTTGTGTACCACATATTCATTTAAGTTTTGCAATAAAGCATTTTTACTCTTAATGATAAAGCTAATCAGAACAATGAGAGAGTTTACTTTGTTAAACTACTAGTTAGGCCAAGTATGCCAGATTGTATAAACATTTTCAAAACATTCTTATTTTTATATATGATTCAGAAAAGAATACATTTGCTGATTCACCGTGTAAGAGCATAAAACTGAGAATGAGTGGGTAAGAGCATTCTTATACTCTTTTCAGTTTTCCATTTTAAAAATGGTTTGATTTTTAATCATTTAACATAGGGCTTTATTATGGTAAATGTGGGCTTTAGATCTATATGACATTTTGTGTGATGAATACAAACTCCTCAAGAACTTAAAGAATTTTAGAAAAACATAAATATACAAATGGGGAAGCTAAATACACAAAGTAGCATGATAAGGCTAAAGGGTGTGTGTGTGTGTGTGTGTGTGTGTGTGTGTGTGTGTTTATGTGCATGCATCCATGCAGTGGTGTATTGGACAGGAGCTACATCACTTATGAAACAGAAATTTTGAATCAAAGCTAAGTTGTCTAACAAAACAGAGGTAGCTGGAATATAGGAGTGCTCAATCTAAGCCAAGTATACGTTTGAATCCTAAGAAGTATTTTAGGTATTAGCCTAGTATTTAGGCTCTATAAGAATCATGTGATTTTCCCCATTCAGATTTTGTGTGCCACCAGGCTAATATAATTAGCAGCCATGTTAATGCAGATGCAGAACATAAAACAAAGGACGAAGAACGGTCAGTTGGGTTGATAGGGTGAAATAATCCCATTTAAAGGACCTCAGAGACTACTAGTAGTTGTTGCTTCTTAGGACTATAGTATTTAATTTTAAATAAAATAAGTCTTTTGCAAATTAATAGTTGCAAAGCAATGCACAAAAAGTAGGTGGGTGTATATATTTTCCTTTGCTCTTGGTAGATCTTTAAAAACTTTTTGTGTCTTTGAGCTATTATGAGTAAAGATTGTTTTATGAGTAGCCAGGTTTCCAGAATGTTTTGGCTCCTGTACCATTGATTGACACAAAAGTTCACCCAGTTCTGAAGTGTTTGGTGCGCATTCTCGTAACATTTGGGTGTGGTTTCTTGTAGCTGTACAGAAATATCTTAGATTTGTTAAAATTCATTGAAGACAAAGAGTGTCTAAAATAGAAACTTTATTAAGATTTTTTTTATTAAGTGATTTTATTAAGTTTCTGGAAACGTTTATCTCCAATTCTGTAAGTAGAGTATTTATATTTTAATTAGATGTAAAGGAATATTTATGTCTATATCAACTTGCAACTAACCATAATAGAAGATGAGGTAGCTTTTGGTATTGTGGAGATGAGAGCCTCATTCATCTCTGTATTATCAGAGCAGACACAGTGTTTTGATCATTTAGTAAGTGAAGGACAGAGACAGAAGCGCTAGAGAAATTTACTTGTCCGGATTCTATATCTTTGCTTTTAATTTTGTTAAATGTGTATTTAATTTAATGTTTGGCAGACTACAAATGTGGATAAACATACATTCTTTTAAAAATCAGGAAATCAGTTTATAAGACAAGAAGTTAGAATTTCATACTATAGAGAATCAATACAAAACTTCCATTTTCTGAAAAAGTATCTGTCTTTATATATCATAAATTAAAATCTTTGAGTTGTATGGTTACTGTAACTTCAGATTTTAGGGTGAGTCCTACGAAAAAGGGGTATGATCTCTGCAAACAAATTTGCTCCATGTGCAGAGTCCAGAGTTTAAGCTTATAATCTCAAGAAGGTAATTTTCTTTTCATCATTGCTGTCCTTAATGCTCAGAAACTGAACTTTTCAGATAGTAACAAGCCGCACTGCATTTGCAGTGGTGGATATGGTGGTACAGGACAGGAACAATTTAACTTCTTATTTACAACTTCCAGCAGCTTGCAAAAGAATTTTGGCTTTTTTTTTTTTTTCAATGTTTGCATCAAAGAGTACTTTATATAAATGTTTAAAAATTACTCAGATATTTCTCAGTGAAAAATCACTCAGTTATAATATGGAAGAACATAACTGATTTTAGATCAAAAAGACAGCTTTGTTTTCAAGTAAGGAAATTCAGAATCGCCCACATTTTTGTACATCAGACTCCTATGTAGCACAAAGCATATGTGCCATAAACTATTGAAAGAAAGTATAGATTTACATTCAACAGATTAACACTTGCAAATGCCATTCTTGCCATGTGTTCTGTGAAATGTGGCTAACTTGGAGCAGGTGCAAGTAACAATTAGGTTAGTACACATGTGTGTGCAAGTAACAATTAGGTTAGTACACATGTGTGTGCAGCTGTGTGAAGAAGCACATTTGAAACTTAATTAAGGATATCAGTTGCTTAATACTGCACAGTTACTAAGCATTTTCAGAGGCACACATTTATTAGAGAAGGCCATGAGTGCACTGATGGGCTAAATAAAAACAACTTTACTATTATTATGGAGTATTTCAGTGGTGTCATTCATGATTTTATGCAGTGTTCGTAGTTACATGCTCTTTGATTACTTTCCAGAAAATAAAGAATTGACAAGAAGTGACTTGAAAAGTGCAGGTAGAATCTTATGATTTTCCTAGGACACTTCTGATAAGTTTGATAGTTCTCCCAAAGTATAAAACTTTACCTGTCATAAACTCTTCCTCTCAGAGAATTTAAAATTTTAGATTCAAATGCCATTGATTATAAAATCTTGAGGTCTTTAACCAATCTGATTCATAGAGAAGACTAAAAATTTCCATATAATATTTCAGAAACTTATGAGGCAAGAACATGCTAAGAGTTTGCTAAGTTGTAAAATGATGATACCTTTCTTCTTTTTAAATGTTTTCTAATTTTGCACCCCAACATTGTCCTGCGTGTCGTTTCTCATTTACTCTTTCATTGAGTCATTCAGCGCTACTCTGCTCTAATGTTTACCAAGGAAGATGGACACCCTTCTGCCAGTGTCCAGCTCTCTTTCTTGGTTCACAAACCAAGTGGAAGCTTCTTTTTTTCATACATCCAAAGTTTCAAAGAGCCAATCTGTGCAGAGCTGTTCGCCTGCTTTCTCCAATAAAGACTTGGATGAGCAGCATGCTCTGTGCGGAATGCCAGAGCCATCTCTGGCTTGGGGCCCATATGTGGGCACTGGCCAAGAAATGCCACTGGGCGTTGCCACTTCCTTTTCCCTCTCATGCTGCTTTACTTTGGGGTCACATTCTCTACTTGCCCAGTCAAGAATTTCAGAATGGGAGCCAGGGACTCCTTAAAATAGGAGATCTTTATTTCCTGGTCTCTTGCTTTTTTGTGCATGTGTGTGCTTGACAAAAATAAAATCTGAGACAGAAGCACATTTTAACACTTCTATGTTTATACTAGAAATAAAAATATTAAAATTATGGCATCAATTGCATTAAATATTTGGATATGCTACTAATGGCTAAAATGTCAATGGATATATTTCAGTTATGTTATTTGTAGAATTTCAAGCAGCTCAGTGTAATTTTTCCAAAACCAGTTTTGAAACTAATATTGCTAATAATGGAAATTACCCTTTTTCCATGTCTTATAACACTCAAATGTCAGAAATCAAACACACACACACGAGAAATTTTCTGTTCTTTTT